CATGTGCTAAGACTTCCCAACTACTTGTGGAAGTGAATTGGACGTTTTGCTTGGAGGCAGAAAGTCACCATGAATTTCCAAACATGGATTTAAAATGTCTGCATTAAACTGGTGAGCTTGTATCCCTATATTGTTTCTTACCTTCCTACATTAAAGGGCAACTCCAGTCAATTCCTAGAGACTTGAGCTCGTGGTTGATTAGTTATGTATCCTGACGTAGTAACAAACGGTTCTACGTCATTTCTTTCTAAAAAAGTGTAATATTTTCAATGCTATCTTCATTTAAAGCTCACCAAAACCTTGCCTATGGTGGGCAATATTGCTTCTGTGTCGTCACCAACATACTCTAACCACGTGCTACAAATTGTGACGTCACGCACCAGGCGGTGTGGCGCACTTCGGCGCAAGGGCAAAAGTGTTGTCTGCTGCGGTCAAAATTAGGCCACACCAGACGACGCCCGCACTACCGCGGTCGCAGCTTGTGTTTTAGTGCAGAAAAAGGAAAGTTTTCCCAAGGGCTTGTCTTTAAAATATTAGTAGAAAGTGAAGTTCAGTAAACCACACGTAAATATGTCGCAACGACTTTGAAGTGTGCCATGTTCAACGTCGCAAACTGGCTCTCCCGGACACGACGGACACTGCCCGCGATAATGCATGGAGCACACAAGTGCATGCGCGTTTTGCGAATCGCGGGGCCAACGATGAACGTGCTGCTAGCACTGCCTGTGGGCTTTGCTTGAGAAAGTGCAAAACAAGCAAACAAATCTCCGAGCACGACGTAGGTAGCGCAGGATGGGCTGCGTTGGGGGGACGCAGTGATATTGAGTGCGCCGTCTGCTACGCCGCGTGTCGCCCGCTAGAACGAGCAGATTTCGGTAATTTTGTGCAACGTTTACAACTGGAAGTATGCGGGTGAGCTGGCTAGGAAACATTTTAAACTCTACCCTTTTCCACCTCAAAAAAAAAAGAAGTTTTGCATATTGTTTTTACGCCACGTGAAGTAGTTCTTACGAGATTTGGTTGTCGGAGGATGAAGCGATGCTTTTGGCGTTTGAAACGTGTATGTCTTGATAACATATGTCTAGTCAAAAATGCATCCAAATATATCTGAATTTTCTACATAAAGGGGGAATTCAGTAATGCTCCACAAGGAGCTGTACTTTTTTTTTTTAGCTACAGTTCTTGGAGGTGAAATCGAGTATAGGTAAACCCCGAGACACCGAGAAATATGATTTCATTTCTCCGTGTCTCGGGGTCTAGTTTGGGCTGAAACATGTCGAGCCTTACTGCAAATGTCCCACTGTGGCAGTGTGGAGAGTGTAATCGTTATGACCCAGGCCACCTGTGACCTGAGTCCGGAGGAGGCGCTTCTTTCGGACGAGCTGTACCCTGCCATGGCTGGTAAGTATTTGTTGTTCTGGCACAAAGTCATCACTTCATATTTTAAAACATGCTCAGCCAAGGTTCTGTTCTGTTTTTTATTCCACAAAATGCGCAAAATCGCATGTGCCAACTCGAAGATACCTGAATTCGAATAGAGGAATGTCGTTTCCATCTACGGTGTAGCTCTATTAGTGTAAAGCTGGTGCAAATCAGAAATCACCTGGCATATATTTAGATCTTGCTGTAGTTAGTAGAACGAACAGTTGGGAAATTGTAGGTGGAAGCTTGAACCTGCAAGCTTTTATTGTTTTTCTTTTTCGTTTTTTTTATTCGCATATTCTTTAAAGCTTTATCTGGAGAGAAAATTTATTTTGCTTTGGTGAACCTGTACATAGAAAAGTTTGCGACATTTTTTGGGCGATTTGTGTGATATCTCCCTTCAACCCAACACTGTTTTGTTTGTCTTTTTGAGGACACCGTGAGAATATTCATGAATGTCCGTGCATAGTGTCATTATGGAGAGTGCATATCATACTACACAATATCACCATATCACGTGATTTGTAGGCATGGGCGAATAGAGGATTTTGGGTCCGAGTAGAATTCGAAGCGAATAGTGATTTTGGTCGAATAATTTCGAATCAAATAGTTCGAAGAGTACAAGCAAAGAATACCACAAGATATGTTTAAACAATAGTTTTATATTTGTCTTTATTTGGTATTAGATATAATGTAATTGTTAATTTCAAGTGTATTGAGTTCGCTAGCACGAAAGGGTCGAAACGGTCGGAAGCTTGTGCCACCTGGCCGTAAATTCAAGCCAGAGTAAGTGAAACCCGTTTATATCGAACTCGCTTAAAAACGTCTACCAGTTCGGTATAACGGGTAATTTGATATAAAAGTTTTAATGACTGACTCTCAAAAATCCACTTTCAGCTGAAATATTACACAATGAAGTAGTCTTGCATCTTCTGCTGCTTTTTTCTTCATTGCATCCGCAATAACGATATTTTTCTACGCTATCGACGGACTCCAAAATGCTGAGGCCGCTGCCTTCTATATTCGCGCATTAGCGCCGAACTATGCCGAGAGTACGGAGCGCGTCCAACGGGACCACCTTCTCCTGCAGAGTGCCGTTTTGCTCTGCAAGTTGGCTTTCCCCTAAAACAGGTGGCTGTGTTGGGGCAAGCCAACTAACAAAGCAAGCTGGCTTTTTTTTTTTTTTTTTCCTGGGCGGTTGCGTCAATTTGGAAGAAAAAATAGGGAATTGTAGTAGACCGTTTTTCTCCTCCGCTACGGTATTGGTCAAGAAAACGCCGCAGCTGCGCATTGGCGCCGCCAGTTTTATCTGCATAGTTCAAGATCTTGTGGCGGATGACGGAGCGCTATCCGGGTGCTTAGCGAAGCAGTGGAGCACCCTTTGTCCGCAAAAGATATATTTTATTTTCTTCCAATCAATCGACGCGGACGCCCGAAAAAAAAAAAAAAAAAAAAGCCAGTGTGCTTTGACAGCTGGCTTTCCCCCATTGCGGCCACCTTCGTTAGGGGAAAGCCAGCTTGCAGAGCGAAACGGCGCTCTTTGCAGTTCGATATTTCGGTAGCGGCTGCTATTTTTGTTTGATGCAACCATAGTTTTTGCTATATATTATCACTGTAACATTACTGTGCAGAAAAACTGTTCGATATAAGGAATAATTCGATGTAAACGGGTTCGATATGGTCGGGTTTGACTGTATTTAGAAAGGTCGAATAATTCTATATTGTCGAATAATTCGATATTGTCGAATACTTAAATTCAATTCGAAGTGAATGCCGAATAGAACAGAATTCGATTGGCTATTCGTAATAACTGAATATTCGCCCGTCCCTAGTGATATGACATCGCGGAGATTCAAGGGCTGTGGAACAGCGGGGAAGCGTATAGGCGACCTCGTGACTATTGCAAAGGAAAAGAAAAAACATCTTTAGCCCCCTTCCTGCCCCTTTCGTTCCAGCGACACTGTATGTAACATAGTCATTGTTTTGTGAGTAACCCTAAACTTTAGGCCCATTTGTACAAGAATGTACCTGCAGTACTTTAATATTCCGAGAGATAGCCCACCTTAAATTGAAAGCAAATCGGGTGAAAATAAAAAATAAACTAACTTCCTCTGTGCAAAAAAAAAAAAAAGTTGAAAGAATGTTAGTTTTAAATTGTGACCTATAAGAGTTGTGATCGCAGAGAGGGATGGTGTGTCAAAGATGACTGTCCTTCCCACTCAGCAATGTTTGCATATCTCCCGCCGTGGCCGAGTAACACCATTTCCGCCGAGGTCACCATTGACCAGTACTCTGCAGTTATACAAGAAGTGGGCTATCGTTCGTTGTTTCTTGAAAGAATGGCGAATCCTGTCAGAAACGGGATATTACGACAGCTGTATCTTTAACTTAGTTTTTTTTTTGGATCAGCGAACAGCTTGGCTGATTATTTTTCAAGAGCAACTTTCACTTTTCTGTCTTGTTCCCCTTCGACTTCTGTTTTACGTTTTTTCGAGAGGCTCGACTCTTCCCGATTAATTTGGAGACTCGTTTGTGGGAGGGGTTGGCACTGCCGAATGAGCCTGGTCGTGCATTCCAGGAGGCCAGTTGCTGACCGGACAGCGGTGGGAAGAGGGCGGCCACCGGCACGACGCCAGGTGAGGGCGTCCCGCCCATGGTTTATTGCGAGCTGAAGGGACCCCGAAACGAAAGCTGCAGGGATCCGAGCGACCCTTGCTCACGGTTCAATGTCTCTGGGTCCCCTAAAGTGGCCACTGGTTGCAGCATTGTTGTTCTTGTTTTTTCTGGTTTGCAGTTTCTGTGGCTTATGCACTTCTTTACATTAAACCTTTGGCAAGCCCGATGGAGCAAATCATTCGTTGCAGAGGGATAATTCTTTTTTCGTTTGCTACATTAGGGAACAAGGTAAGGAGAAGAAAGAAAATGGATACTGGCAACAACAAACAGGAGTGCACAAAATATGAATTTTTTTCATATTTTTCTTAAAACAGCACTTGTGAAAACAAGGACTGGTTCTAGTTGTATGCTTTCTGAAAGCATAGTGCATTTTATTTTAATGTTGGGCTCCTACAAAGAGTGTTTTCCCGTAGAAACCGAACTGCAAATTTTTGCAGCTGCAATGCTGCGAGGGCAGTTTTTAGCTGAAATGGTGCTAAAAGCCTGTCAGTTGAATAGTTTCCACTCTACACTTTCAGAAAGAGCCACATGCCAGGTTGAGCCAAGACAGCAAAAGTATCTGCGTGTGAGCAACATAGCTGCATCACCTGTAAACCAAATCAATACCTGGTATTGATTTGATTGTTTTGCTTCCTTATTCCTTATTTGCTTCCTTATGTGAATGTGTACCCCACAGCTGTCATAGCCCATTAGTGGTGAACAGTATCTGTAAATAAAAATGCTTAATTTTAGGCCGTTACTGAAATACCTAACCCCGTGGTAATATATACAAAGCATAGCGCTATACTCGAATATAAAATTTTACGTCAGTTTCTGAAACTTAATTTTTCAAATTCGTGAAATATTAAGCCCACGAAAATGGTTGTTTGCTGTATACTTCAATATTGATGAAAATGGCCTGCTAATTTTTCACAAAGTACTTTATTTATAACAGCACTATTAGTTGTTTTTTTTTACAATGTTTGCATTGCTTTGTTATTAGACTAGACAACACCCATGCAGTTTATTTTAGTTCACAGCCTCTTTTTGCCACAACCAACTCAATTTCTGAGCACTTCTTTTTAGGGATTACATATTTAGGGTTAATAATAAGCAAGTCTCACACCTTGTAATAACGGTGCAAGTCGAATATAGGAGACTGCTTCCAGGGCAAGCACTGGGGCCATTACCAAGCACTGCAAACTCGTACTGAGGGATAATAGTATAGCGTTGAATACAGGCTAACTTAAAATGGAGGCACAGCAAGATTGTTTCTGGCCAGAAAGCATACCTGGCTTTTATTTCTATAGCTTAGCCCCAGAATATTTGTTGCTATCGTAAAGTTCTCATTAACTACTTTGTCTCTTCCAGGTAGCACCTGTGATACCAGCCATGCTTTCAGCCGAGGAAATTTAGGGGTGTGGTGCCACCTCAACTTCACTGTGCCAACTTATACAAGAAATAGTCTCCGACGGTCACTGCAGCATCCAGCTGGCAAAAGAAAAAAAAAAAAAAAAAAACACACCTAGTCAGAACTTCTGGCCAGCATGCATCAGTGATATCGTTGTAATAAACCAGCGCTTTCTAAAATTGTTCGTTGTCACTCACTGACAAGTTTGAACTGGTGGCGATCGCGCTTTCATCGGACCATGCGTGCTCTTGCATGTTGCAACTTCTCGAGATCACATAACACGGAGCTCGTGCCAGATGTCAAGGGCACCCTTCCCTGTCCATGCAGGGTGTCTCAAATAGCAGCCAGGCTCTTTAAATCGAATGCGAAAACCGGTTTCTTAACGTATCGCGGTACTATTTTGTGCAGCATTGCCCCCAGATGGTGCATTTTTTTTTATAAAATTTGCAAAAGGCGAACTTGGCTGAGGAAAAAGTAAAAAAAGAAAAAGGCTTAACTTGTATGGAAACGCAGCGAAGCCACCGGTCTTCAAACATTAGGGCGCCGTTTGGCACGGGAGACGAGATGACGCAAGCGGTCGCGACCCCAGCTGCCGCCAACGAACGACCATAAGGCTCCGAAAACCGGCATCAAATAGCAGACATACTTTTCGCCTCAAAAGCAGCGTGGGTTCCGCAGGCGGCGACAGACGCATAACCCAAAACGGGTGCGGTAACTACAAGGAACTGCAAAGCAGACGACACAAGTACCCCGAAAAAAACTGTCAAAATAACCCGACAAACCATTTTTTAATCTATTGTCTGTCCATTCAGTGCGTTTTTCTCGTAAGAATGATAAAATCGTGCATTGGCAACTGACATCGAAAAAGCTCATGCCGCTTTTGAGTCAAAAAGTTTGTCTGATATTTGACGCCTGCTCTCAGTGCCGTATGCTTGTCTGTTGGCAACAATTGGCGTTGTGACCGCTTGCACCATTTCTTCTCTCCCAAGCCAAACAACACCCTATAGTTTGGAGACCGGTGGCTTCGCTGCATCTCCATAGAGGTTAAGCCTTTTTCTTTTTTTACTTCTTCCTCAGGTAAGTTCGCTTATTGCAAATTTTATAGAAAAGATGCACCACCTGTGGGCAATGCTGCACAAAATCGTAGCGCGACAGGTTAAGAAGCCAATTTTTGCGGTCAATTTAAAGAGCCTGGCCGCTATTTGAGACGCCCTGTAGATATGCGAAGTATCTGCAGTTCCCACACCACACTCTTTTTGTCGCCAACTTGGGATCTTTCGCTTCCGGGGACTACCGATATACAAGCAGCGTGCCTTCGACGAAGACTCGACTGTGTCGTGCGAGCTCGAACCGTGCGCAGTCGAGGGCGGCCAGCCCTTACTGCTGGTTGGGCATTTGAGAACATCCTTTTCTTATTCTCTCTAAAGTTTGTTTCGCTCTTACGACAGACTGCGGCAGACGTTACAAGCCAATCCGGTGCCGCAAATCTCTCCCGTGACTCTACGTGCCTTGCACGTTGCCGTGTCCTTCCCGAAGGTCAACACGACGTTGGATGGGCTCCAATGGTTTGTAGCATCCACCGGGGCCCGTCGTAAGACGAAACAAAATGCAATAGCTGCATTGCCAGTACACCGAAAATGTTTGTTGCGTCGAAGCAGCAAAGTGCCATCCGGTCCCGGCTTCCTCCACACGAGAAAACGACCGTCATGAGGATCCCAGCAGGCGCCCGTAGGTGAAGAGCTCCCACGAGTAGAATCGGACGTTGCCACAATGAGACGCTCCTTTCTTTGACTGTTCTTAGAATCTTCTACGCAAAAGAATGACCATCGCGGGGTTCACGTTGGCCGTCCGTTGGTGCGGAACTCCTGTGAGCAGAGCCGGACGGCCTCTGCGAGGTCCTCCGCAGGAGCAGAGCGCAGCAGCACGTGCCAGCGGGTCTCCTGGAAGCTGGCGGGCAGCATGGAGACGGCAGGCGGGGCCAACTGGTTGACCCGCAGGGCACGGTCGGGCCGGTCTTTGGTGTAGAAGAGCACCCTGCCCACAGGGTCCTGTTCCTCACAGCCCCAGTGGATCTTCACCAGCTGCAGGGCGGCAGTTAATAAGAGGGGGGACAGTCACCATACTTGTTTCAATGAAGACCCTTTTTGTTTACCCTTGTTCCCAGCCACGTGGTTCGCATACCCAGTAATGCAGAAAGGAAGTAAAACGAGCAGCATACTGCACTTTGGAGCAGGAAAACATAAAAGAGGCAAAACAAGAATGGGTGACAGTCGCAGTTATGACGTGAGCACTTTCCAGGTGGTGGCAAAGCAACACTTTCCTGCGTGTCGGAAGTTCCGCCGTCCGGGATAGCAACGGCCGCATGAGGAAAACCTACAGGCCAAATTTTTCTTCTTTCCGGCACCGTTCTTTAAAATTTTGAGTCAACCTATAATAATAAACAAAATTTTAGAGCTTATTGAGCTAACCAACATGCTATGTCTAGTCTGTAGCTTCTCCGAGTACACCGGTGCAAAGTGGTGAAGCTTGACGCGGAGGTGCCTGGGTGGTCATTGCTGGGAGCTCTGATGATGACTTGGTTGGTGCTGTCGGTGGGGGAGTTCCACCGAGGGTGACTAAGGATGCTGCGAAATAAATGTTTGTAGGAATTCCAGTTCTTTAAAATTACGGTACCTATGCAGAATTGGTGATACCTACCCTGGACAAGGCGAATTTTTCCGGCGACCACCAGTCACCAAGAGGGCGCGAGATGGAATGATGAAAGTCTATTTAATTTTGCGTAAATGTTTTCCACCCTGAGGACTTGCCCTAAAATCATTATATTGAGTCGTACTGGAATAAGCATTATCCTCATCAGCAAGTACAGGGGTCGATCTATGCTCGACTATCTACGCTAATGGCCTGGTTATGTGGGCTCCGACAACTGTCATTTGGCCGATGGCAGTTAGCGGCCTCTGTGATTAGACAACCAGACAGATGGTGCTATGCAGTTCTTTTGCTCCTAACTGAAACCAAAATTAAATTATGTCCGGTGCTGCGTGTGCAATCCGAATCTTTACTAAGTAGATTGATCACAGACGGATGTCCTGGTTGGAGCATGAAAACGAGTATTGGAAGGTTACGGGTGAATGCAGGAAAAAGGTTGCTACGACATGGGAAGCAGAAACCACAGGACCAGCAGGGTTGGACAGGGCTGTCCACTGCAACCACTGCTTTTAGCCATGTGGCTGAAATAGAAAGGATCCCTGTAGAACTAGTCCGAAAAATTGACAACTGCAAGTAATAAGATCAAAATTTTCATTTGAGGTATATGTTAGTGGTGCACGTTACATTGTGAACTTGCAAAAGCGTGGCTTCCCTGTAGAAGACAAGAATGCTCTTGATGTTTTTAAAGACTGACTCTTACGGAGATGACCGGCTTTGGTCTGGCGTGCATGTAGAGCTTCACCTTTTTGCAACGGTGCGCATGTTGACCTTCACCGTTTCGCACCGGCATAGAAGGAGCAGCGGCTGATGTGGAGGGGTGTCTGGGTTAGCTAATGGGTTATGGAAATTTCGCTCACTCTTATACGTTGACATACTTTCGTAGCAGATATACATATATATATATATATACTATACATATATTGCCACGCACATCGCTCAGCGAGCGCATACGTGGCCGAATGGTTACCGTGCCTGGCTGTCGCGCGGAAGATCTGGGTTCGACTCCAGGCAGCGGAATGTTCTTTTATTTATTCTTTCTACTTGGCATTCTCGCAAATTCGGGAACTTTCTTGTCTGATACAAATCTTCAAGGCCGAATGTTCCAGAGACCCACACGGCTACAAAAAGGTGCTCCCCGTGGCAAGCTGCAGTCAGTCTCGCCCCAGCGTTTGATCCTGCTGTTACGCCGACTTCGACGACTGCGACACTCTGTTGTTATCTTCTATTCCCTTTTTGTCAGGGGGATCAATGGATCAATGGTTGAGTGGGCTAGTGCACACCAGCTCTGAGCACGTAGAGCAAAAGGTCGCGCTGCAAAACCCCTGCCCGTTTCGATCCATCGTACCAGCGTGCTGTCGTGCATCACTACTGTGTGGTGCACTTTAAAAACCCCAGGCTAGCGGTTGTACTGCACTGGCTAAATTGCTTATCTACAGCGAGTGACTCGTCGCAACTTCGAAATTGTTGACCAACTACGCGCTGTATAAATATGTACTCAACCCGCAATTAATTCCTTTTTTGTTTTGGGCACAAGTTCGCCCCATTAAACGTTTTAGTTTCCTCGGTTATTCTATGTTTCATCACCTCGTCATTCGTGACAATATATATTACATGTATATATATTTATACCGTAAAATCTCGTAAGGGCTCCCTCCTGAGGGATCGCCCAACACATTTTTCTGGTTAAACACCCGTAACATAACAATTCCCAAACATCGGCCACCCCACAATTCCCACCAGACATCACGCGTTGTCTGACGGGAATCACATCAACCGCAAGATCTGCAGTACTGGTACGTGTGACAAGAGAGTTAACTGTGGGTTCCCGCGTTTTTGTCTGCGATCCGCGCTCGCGCAATGTTGGTTCCTGAGACAAGCGAGTTCCTAGCAACTTCCCGCTTTTTTTGTCTGCGATCTGCACACAATATTGGTTCCCATGGCTGTTTAAATTTTGTAGCCGGTTTCAGAGCGTTTATCACACCTTAAAACACGAATCGAATTTGCTTTATCTGCATTCGCGGTATCCTTCCCTGTGACAGGGGTTCGTAGCGCCTTCCCGTGTGTCATTGCGTTTCGAAACGCGAACTTGCCCTGTTCGCGGTCTGCAGTATCAATTACCGCGTCACATGGTTTGCAGTGGGTGCCCCCGTGTTTATCATTAGTTTTTGATAAAGCTTTGCTGTCTCAGGTTTTTCATAATTTTAATTTATCTCTTCATTTTGGATGGGCACCCTTATGGGATTTTACAGTATGGATATATATTGCCACGCTCGTCGGCGAGCGACCGCGCGCGTGGCCGAGTGGTTACCGTGCTTGACTGTCGCGCAGAAAGTCTGGGTTCGATTCCAGTCAGTGGAATGCCCTTTTATTTGCTCTTTCATTGCGTTCTGGTGAGTTCGAGAACATTCTCGTCAGATCAAGTTACGAATGTTCCAGTCGCCGAACAATCTAGGCCGATTGTTCCAGAACCCAACGCGCGTACATAAGGGACTCCGCGTGCTGATCTGCAGTCAGTTTCGCTCCAGCATTCGACTCTGCTGCTACGCCGACTTTGACGCCCGCGACACTCCGTTATTATCTTTTGTACCCTTTTATTTTTGGCACAAGTTCGCCACATTAAACGTTTATTTCTTCCCGTTTATTTTTTGTTTATTGGTCACCACCCGTGAAAATATACTGTAAAATCCCATAAGGGTGCCCATCCAAAGTGAAGAGATAAATTAATATTATGAATAACCTGAGACAGCAAAGCTTAATATATATATATATATATACAGGGTGTTTCAGAGAACGCAGGCCAAATCGCTCCTGCGAAAACTACTCATCGCAACAAAAAAAGGCTTGTGGCATTTTGGTCCTGGGCCAGGGGCCCATTTAGGAAAATTATTAAAGTTCGGGATAATTAAGTTAATTATTTTTGCGTAATTAACTTTTTTAATATTGTGTTTAAGGGCATGGTTTAAATTAGAAAATTGCTCAGCATTATCGAAAAACACTAAATCGACAAATTGCAGAACGATAGGAGGCACGCGAAGCATTTTACGGCTTTCTGAAAAACTGCACAAAATCGACGTGTTTTCAAGTTTCGGTTTGCTATCGGAGCGCATCTCAGCCTCGGCGGCACCGCGCCCCATGGGGAGATAGTGCAACCAGCCTCTGCTGCGCTGTCATCGCGCGACGCAGCAGTGGCTGGTTGCACTACCTCTCCACGGGGCGCGGTGCCGCCGGGGCTGAGATGCGCTCCGATAGCAAACCGAAACTTAAAAACACGTTGATTTTGTGCAGTTTTTCAGAAAGCCGTAAAATGCTTCGCGTGCCTCCTATCGTTCTGCAATTTGTCGATTTAGTGTTTTTCGATAATGCTGAGCAATTTTCTAATTTAAACCATGCCCTTAAACACAATATTAAAACAGTTAATTACGCCAAAATAATTAACTTAATTATCCCAGACTTCAACAATTTTCCTAAATGGGCCCCAGGCCCAGGACCAAAATGCCACAAGCCTTTTTTTGTTGCGATGAGTAGTTTTTGCAGGAGCGATTTGGCCTGCGTTCTCTGAAACACAGTCGAGCCCGGGTGTGCTGTCACGAATGATGAGGTGACGAAACAAAAAACAACTGAGGAAAATGAAACGTTTAATGGGGTGAACTTGTGCCCAAAACCAAGAAAGAACTAGAGGACAACAACAGAGCGTTGCGGGCGTCGAAGTCGGCGTAACAGCAGAGTCGAACGCTGGGGCGAGACTGACTGCACTGGCCATGCGGAACCCCCTAAAGTACCGTAGTGGGTTTCTGGAACATTCGGCGTAGAACTTTCCGTGCGTAGAACATTCGGAACTCGATCAGACGAGAATGTTCTCAAACTTACGGGAACGCCAAGTAGAAAGAATAAATAAAAGGACAGTCCGCTGACTGCAATCGCTCCCAAACCTTCCGCGCGACAGTCAAGCATGGTAACCACTCGCCATGCATGCGCTCGCCCGCCGCCGCACGTGGCAATATCGCACTCGGGTATTTTGAATTATAGTTTATATCAAACAGTCCAGACATTCCCTTGAAAATCACATGTAATAGTATAGGAGCATTGTTTTTTGTATCCAATCCACATGGCAAGACACTCAATATGGCGAACGAAGCCCGCCGCTTTTCCCGCAATCCCATTGCGCCCCAATTGTGCCGGTGGCGAGCACATCGCTCTAGTTGAGTGGCTGGCACGCCGCCAAGCCAGCATACAAGGACGGGGAAAACGCAGCGGCGAAAAAAAAAAGACAAGGGCAACTGTAAAAAAAAAAAAAAAAGGTGGAGGATGGCAAAAGCAAGGGGAAGGGCACGAGTGGGCGTAGGGGCAAAGAGTGCCCGCTGTTGGAAGGGTAACGTGCGCTCTTTCCCCGAACAATGCTGTCGCTGCACGACTCCTTAACCCCAAAATAAGCAACAAAAAAAAAGTCTCCAGCAAGTTGAGTGTGTCGGCAACAATGGTTGAGCAATCACACTTTGAATGCCTTATCTTTGTTTACGTTTTTTTTTTTGCAATTTTTGCTTTGCCAGTTGTTTTTTTTCTTTTTTTGTTTGCTGCCTGAATTTAGTGAGCTTTCTTTTTTATTGCTTGCCTAACTTTGTTCTATGAATCAAGTTTTTTTTTGTTTTTTTTTTATGTGGCTCGCTTTTTCCGTTTTTTTATTTTTTTAAATTATTTTCGTGTTTTGTCGCTTGTGCTGTGTAGAGGTCGTGGCCAGGTGCACGCGAACTACGCTCTGCTATATTTAGCGGCTCTAAGGTCCTCTATTCAGTAAGGTCCTGTTTGTCGCGGAGCTTAAGTTAACATATTTTTGTATATCAAATCGATATATCGAACTAGTACAATGCCCTTTGAATTCGATATATCTGGGTATGACTGTATATAGGTACTTAATTTTAGGTAGCAGTTAAAAAATAAAGCCGTTTACAACTCCCTGTAACGCCGAATTGGAGCGCAGCTCTTGAGGAGAAGGAGGGAAGGGTACTGAGGGGAGGGTATATTCCTCCTCCCTCGTGATCCTGCCTGCTACTCCTGAAGGAAAGGGCTCCTATTCGAAGCCGGCCGAGGGACAAGAGATCAGAGTCTTTTAAAATTATTTTCCGAAGTAATGAAAATTTGGATTCGTCCCCCCTGCTCATCCTCACTGCTCCCCTCCTTTCTCCTCCTCCCCTCACGGGGGTCATGTGACCCCCGGACCTGGGGGAGTCACGTGACCTGGGGGGGTCACGTGACCTGGGAAGTCACATGACCTGAGGGGGGTCACGTAACCTGGGGGGGGGGGGTCAAGTGACCGGGGGGGGGGGGGGGGGGGCCACGTGACCTCACGGTTACGCTGACGGTGATGAAGCTCAAGCCGGAAACAGGCGCCTAAAAGCTGTGCTATAAAAACACAACCTCATTTTGATTAAATATGGTAGTTCCCCAAAGGTGTGAAAGTTTGTTTAACAAATTGTGCGAGAGTTGCTTCCTGTCTCAATCTATAGTATCCAAACGTGATAGCGGTGGTTTACTGCAGTCCTTTTTTCTTGCATCTCTTTTTTACTGCAGTACTCTGAAACACATTGAAGTTCTACTGTGCATATATTTCTTGTCATCCTATCAATGCCTATTCTACAGCATAATACCAGGAAGATGGTACTTCAGCAGAGTTTGCACATTGTCCAAGGGCCTACCGTTATGACAAATTCCTGCCGCTTTGGACAGTGAGCCAGGTGGGCTGGCAGTCTGCTCAGCAGCCAGTCAAGGACTTTCTCCTGCAAATGAACCACATTCTTCCATTAGGCAAGCCTATGAATTCCTGTAGTTATTTCAGAAGTGAGATATACGCGCGAATAAATCGCAAACAATTCTACAAAGCCTGCTGGTCAAGTTAGAGACGCCGACCGATTTTTCGGACACGCCCGATTATTCGGACGTTTTTGCCAAACCGTCACTCACTGCATAAAGTTAATGTATAACATTGACCGAAATTTTGGTCGCTATAAAGCTTATTCCTCTACATTTCGGACATAGTTCGTGTGATTTCCTTTATTTACAGTCACAAGTCGCCACCATTTTGGTTGTTTTGATTTTGTCCTCTAGCCTCAATACCACGTCCTATACGCAATAAACAAGCTGGTTTAAGGCTATAGACGGGTTTTCCCAGTTCCACTATAGCTAACATGGCCGCCGTCTGCCCATTCTTGTCGTGGTTCGTGTTTTTCGAGTGCAACCGCGAGAAAAATGGCCGTCTGCCGTTCTCGTGGTCATTGAGCGCAAAGGTTTCTAGACGATAGGCTTAGTATTTAAAGGGCAACTCCGCTTCATTTTCGATATTTAGAAAACTATGTAGCCCTCTTCAGTATCATATAGGAAGACCCCATGTCAAATATTATGATCTAATCCCGTTTATATATTTAATAAACTGGCCAGCAAACCCTCAAGCGAGCCAAGTCGCCGAAATCTGCCAACTCTAGCGTGCGGCGCGAGGCGCAATCATCAGCGCAGTCAATACCACGGAGTTGGAGCGGCCAACGTTGAGCCACTACGTCAGAGGCATGTATACGTCATTCTCACGTTTTGTTTGTTTTTACTTCTCAGGGCGAGATTAAACGATGACGTCATGAGTTTCTCCCGGTGTTGGCTGACCGGGCGTTCACGTGATCACCGTAACGCGGATGCGCTAATTTGCGCTGCCCTGCGCGCTTATCGGTCTGTTTCTCCACTCCCCTTCTCCTCTTTCGTCTTCTCCCCTTCCCCCTCTCCCCCGGGCCATCACCGTCCATGCCATGCCAAAGCGACCTGCTGGCGTCGAAAAAAAAAAAAGACCTGCCCGCGTCGCGTGTCCTGTTTCTCGCTCCCTCCCGAACGTCACAAGACCACGTGGTTCGACGTGACGTGGCCATGACTCTGACGACCCAAGACCAATGTTGCCTGATGCAACCGAAGTTTCGGTTTCGGTATCAGCTGATGTTTAAATTAGGATTACACAAATACTATTCCACATTTCGCGAATCCGAAGACGTACAGTTGTTTAGTAGTGCTTTGTGAATTTGAATCACATGTAAGCCTAAATTTTTTGGAATTGAGCGGAGTTGCCCTTTAAGCGAGCTTGGCGGACGAAATGTTGTCTCTCAATAGTGCCAAATGGCGCCAAGTTACACTTTGCTGTTTGTGCCAACGAAGGTGCCGACAAAGCGCAGCACCATGATCAAACAGATCTCCCCTAGCTTTGATAGAAACTTATACCGCTGGATAGAAAATTACCTCTCTGGGAGAGAGCAGTGTGTCATTATAAATGGTGCAAGCTCAGACTTTGTTAATCTGACTTCTGGCGTGCCGCAAGGGTCAGTGCTGGGACATCTTTTATTTCTTTTGTTTATTAATGGTATATCATCGACCATTAAATCGTCCATAAAGCTATTTGCAGACGATTGTGCTCTGTAAAGCAGGGTTGACAGTGTTAGTGATTTGGCTTTTTTACAGTTGGATCTGGATAGTGTATCGGATTTGTGCAGGATTTGGGAGTTAGGCTTGAATGTGGATAAGTGTGTGCAAGTCGTTTTTGGGAGGAAACTTAACCCTGTCCCATCGTGTTATTTTAGTGATCATCATAAATAACACTGATGTTAAATATTTGGGAATTACCTTGTCAAGCACACTTTTTTTAAATGTTCATGTCACTAAAACTGCTAGAAAGGCCAGCCAAACTTTAAGTTTTCTTATTCGAAATTTACGCGGTGCTCCACAGAAATCAAGGGGGACAGCCTACTGCTGTTTCGTTAGACCAACACTGGAGTATGCATGTGTTTTGTGGGATCCGCACCAAAAATACCGTGCACATAAGTTAAAGAAACTTCAAAACCGTGCAACGAGATTTGTAAACGGAAGTTATAGTAGAAACAATAGCATTACAGAGATTAAAAATGTACTTGGTTGGGAAACTTTATTGTTAAGACACAAAGATTTTCAATTGGGGTTCCTACTCGCAATTTTTAACGATTTGACAGGTATTGATAAAAGCAAATACATGGAGTAACCTAACTATATTTCAAATCGTGTGGATCATTCCAGAAATATAAAGGGAATTTTCTGTAGAACAAATTATAAGTTTTAATTTGTTCCACACACAATAGCTCAGTGGAACCTGTTACCCGAGTCTCTTGTTTAATTAATGTTGACGTGGGACAATTTTCCTCAGGAAATGGTCTCGATTTTTAATGCTGTTACTTATTTTTATTGTTTATGTATTCTCTTTCTTGACAGCCAAGGCTGTACAATAAAATCGCGATAATTCAAACTCGAATATTTCATACTTCCGGTTAATTCAAACAGATTTGAAAATTTTGGTTGTCCCGCTATGTTTTTAATGTACTTATAAGCCGCTTAATTCGGACAGCGTTTTCGCATTCAGACTTTTTTGTTCTCGCGGCCCCGCTGAGTGCGCTTCTTTCCGAGCACCGGTGCACCACAGAGAAGCAATACCCGCAAAGCTTGCTTTCACAAGTGTTGCTTCTCTGCAGTACACCGGTGCTCTGAAAGAAGCGCACTCAACGGCGCTCAAGCGAGCACACATTAGGGGAAAATGACGTTCACATTATGTGCTTCAAGACTAGCAATGATGACCAAGACGACATCGAGGATGAGGAATAGCTCACTGGCATCATGCTTTCTGGCCTTGAAGAATATAATGTGAACGCCGAGCTGGCGGAATATGCTAGTCTTGACGACGATGTGTGTTTGTCGTGATGACTCATTAGAGGACATAGTACAGGAAGTAATGCCAGTACAGTGCAGCAGTGAGAGTGAAGATGACGATGAAGAAAGGGATGACCCACTACCATCTGTCACAGCCGCAGAGGCCTTTGAGCACATTGCTCAGCTCCGGAAGTTTCTGTCTGCAAAGGAAGAGTCCCGTAAGGAGCTACTTGCATTGGCTGGTATTGAAAATTTTGTAATGAGATCTCATGTGCTGACTAAACAGTCCACAATCGACAACTTTTTTGCCAGATGAATAAACTCAATGTCACAGTTCTTTCACCAATGTGTCATACCTGTACTTGCTCATAATTAGGCCTATGTAGAGGAAACTGGCAAAAATCTGCTTTGTATGTGTAGGTATCCATCAAACAAATCATAATGTTGTCTAGTATCATATTTGGATGAATTTCCGATTAATCAAACTTCTGATAATTCAAACTAAAATCTGTGACTTCCTGGAGTTTGAATTAATAAGTCTACTGTATATTCAAGTGTTCTGCTTTTAGTTCTTCATTGAGCGTCCATGGCCTGTACTAGCTATAATGCCGAACTTTCGGTGCTGCAGGTTTGCTTTTGTAAATAAATAAACAAAAAAGTGAAAAGTGAACAATATAAGGCGGAAGTTGCACGAGGAGTTAAATTTGACATCAAGCAAGTGGAAAGTGGCCAATACGCAGCAGAATATGCGTGCAAATTTGATATTTTGGCTGAGATTGATTGTTCGGATCGCTTGATTATTCGGACCATTTTGGGGTCCCCTCCTAGTCCGAAAAATCGGTCCGCGACAGTACCGACTCCTAAAATGATAAAGTCAGAAGCGCTTGTAGTGCAGCTTTAATTCAAGAAAAAAAAGTAAAGCATCTTTATGCTGCTGCATTTGAACTGAGTGGCAAAAAACATACCATCGAGGCCAGCTACAGCGGGCCTACAAAAAAAAAGGCCCGAGGTCAGGGTGACTCACCTGAGAGTCCAGGGTGCCCTGGTGGAAGGGCAGACGCCCCAAGTGCCGGTAGAGGGCGTCCGGCCGGTGGGAGCGGGCCTCCAGGGCATCCCAGAGCGTCTGCGCCTGCACCACCTGCGGGTGGCTGCCGGCGTTCCTGCGCAACATCAGCTGGACCCAGGAGTCGCTCAGGGCCACAAACGCCTCCAGCCAAGCGTCGGCCGAGGGGCTGTCATCGTGGCAATCCCGGCCAACCTCGTGCGTCGTCTGCCACAGGCGCAGGGGACGGCTGCAAGCGCGACAGGAGTTTCGTCTCGTTCGCCTTTTACCCCCCATAGAACACAGCCCACGAAAATTGAGCCCTCCGAGGAGCCACATCATTTTACGGCGATAGCCGATATGTGCTTTTCTTCCGACTTGAAACAATGCAGTTGCTGTTGTAGGTGTAAGGAAGTCCCCAAAACCCACAGCGCTTTCCTCCGAATTCCATCTCGGGTTCGCCGATTGTGAAGCGAGCGCGGTACCGCGGAGCCATGCCAGTTGCTTCAATGCACTGCCTAATAAACCGCACGTGTTGGGGACAGCTGCAAATACAATCCTCACGCGGTGCCCACTAGATGACTGCAGTCACGTCAACGTCGCATTGCGCCACCCGAGTCTCGTGCCACGTCCGTTAGCTTCTGTGTATATAAAATAAATGAGCGTGTCGCTCTCTGAGCAAGCATTGGCGACGGTTCCTCCACGTAAGGTGCAAGACACGTAAGAATACGGCTCGGTAAGGCGCCACAGCTGTCGCTTCGACTGTACTGTAGATTCACAAAAGGCTGCTCATTCTTTTTTTTTATGGGATACTATTGTTTTTCCATTTCAATCGTTGATGGGCAGCACAATTTGGTCTCGGATTGCTGATGCCACCTGCCCATTTCTTTGCCAAGAAGAATTCCATGGCCAATGATAAGGGTGCAGAGTATTGTAACGAGACACTGGATACAAACGGTCAAAAGGTTCCTCTTCGAGTTCTTTGCAATATGTTTCATCTTTCCTGGCGAGCGTTGTGCTGACTGCAAGGGCAGTGCCCTAGTTTTCGGGCTGCTGCAGTCGTGGTGTACATAGATGCCAAACATCTGCATGGTTTGTCCACCCAAAATATCCTTTTCTTTTCTTTTTTTTTTTGACACAAGACTTGGCGAGATCTTTATTTCTCTCTGGTTGGAAATTATGTAATGAATTAAAATAACAAAAAAAGGGCTCACCCATCCAGGCCGGTCACCTTTTCATCTGCCAGCAGCAAGGCATCACAGACCCTGTAAAGAAGGAGCTTGGTTATTAAAGCGTCCCCATACGCAGCATGAACCAGGAAGTGTGTTGGAACTGCGTAAACCAGATTGGTCAATGGGTCATGCTCTACATTTTATTGCAGAAATAGGTGATGCATCTTGTGTGTCAATATTTCAAAGAACAAACATACCCGAGTAAAAGTAACAAGATAAAAAAATGACCGCTCCACGTGGTGAATGATGCTGATTGGGGCAAAGCTCTAATGGTGCTTGCCTGCGTAGATGCTGAGCCGCAGCATGCCGAGCTTTTCGTTCGTTTTCATCCATGTCAGAATTAAAGAGAATGTGTGGTACGGAACGTGGTTATATACATACTTGAGCATTTGACCGCAGCGCTTTTTCATCTATAAACGTTGAGCCAATGCATGCACAGTTTAACGCGATTATATACGCACTTGACCGCAGCGCCCTCTCCTGTATAGGCGTTGAGCAGCTAGTACATGCAACGTTTCATCTATGACATCCCCAGCTCTTGAGTTACTACCACATCTCAGAGCCCCCAACTTGTACTGCAGTTGTGGCCGAGTAATTAAGGCGATGAACTAGAAATCCATTGGGGTCTCTCCGCACAGGTTCGACTGCGCAAGTATTTCTTTTTTTTTTTTTTTGCCCTACACGAGCACGTGAGCTTACGAGCACGAGCACCAGCACCAGCAAGATCGATGTGAGCACGGACGCCAGATGGACAAGGCTGAATCTTAGTACAATTAGAAATTTTTTCCTGTATTAAAATTTCGCTTGTATTGTGAGGTCGTGTGTTCTGTATGTTTCAGATATCCTTGAGGTAGTACGATTATTATTTTTAGTCCTGTCATGTACCTAAATATGCTATGTGCCTTATATATATGTGTGTATTTGCGCGTGTGTATGATGCGTATGTATGTATGTATGTGTATGTATCATATATATATATAAAAAATCATATGTATATATATATATATATATATATATATATATGATTTTTTTGTTATCTTTAACAGCGTGTTTAACTTATGCTGTTCTTCTGGTTCTTTTTTTATTTATTTATTTATTTATTTGCTTAATGTTAAAAGCTGAAAACTTAATGTTATTACTTCATGTGTAGTATGTCGCCGTGTGCCAATTGTAAGGCTGCAGAGGCCTTGTCAAGTCAAACTTTTGACTTTTTGCCCCTGCAGCCTACATCAGTTTCTGATGTGAAATAAAGGATTGATTGATTGATTGATTGATTGATAGACCCTAAGGAGCTTCGCCCCTAAAACAGCTTTTTCCCATCTGCACATGTTCCTCCATAAATGAGATGCGTCCGATCAGAGCAAAAGCTGACAGATGGCAGCAGCAGCCCAGTCGCAATTTTTTCCTCATAGACTGCCCCTCGGCCAAAAAGTTTCGAGACCCCCGGTGTAGATAGTGATACATACAGCATAGATTTTCCCTGATAGAAGGCTGACATTAATAACTACACAGAGGTTCAAAGCTTAGATCCAGCTCTAACCGCAACAAGACGAACAAAGCACATACATCCGAGTGGAAGATAGGCTACTGCTATGACGACGTAGTTGCTTCGTGAATGGCCGTGCCTCCCTGCCCCTGCCACGCTCTTCTGCTGGGATCGGTATTCGCAGCCATACGGTGGCAGCCCGAAAGCAATGTAAACTGTAAAGACTACTCGCATGGTGTCGTAGACCTTGACCAGGCGGTGCTGGTAGACGTTGCTGTGCAGGAGGCTCCGAGTGCGAAACATGTCATACACCGTGTTCAGCTCCTGCATGAAGACTGGCCTTCAGTCGACATTTTGGCAAAACAAAGAGGGACGACAAACGAATTTGGTGAGAAGCTTGACCTTTGCAACTACAGGCCGCCCATAAAAAGAAACAGCTTTACATCATTTTTTTCAATTGCAAAATACACTAGTATGCATTGCCAAATGCTCCGTGTATTTCCAATGTAGGGCTAGTAGTCTAGACCAGATGCCATTCATTAGGGTTACTGTTTTTCAAATGTTTTTTTCTGATAAAATTTTGAGAATATTTTTCAGAGTATATTTTTTTTATTTCAAATATGGTGTTCACAGGAGATTTCTGTTTTTTTTTCCCTGGTGAATTTTAGTTTTTATTAGGCTATAAGTTTGTCACATTCCTAGATCACTGTGCTTTCCTAAGATTTATACGAGAACACATATAAAACTACAGCAAGCCATTTTAAATATGAGCAAAATTTATAAAAAATGTAAAGTCTATGGGTTATGAGATCCACTTTCGTAAACACATTGTCTCCTATGTTCGTGTCAGAGGCCCTAATTGCAAAATCTGCGCTCAAAACCGGAATAGTGGTTAACACTGTCATAGCCATTGATCAGCTTCCGTCATGACCCAGAAATGCAGTACAGTTAAACCTCGATGTAACGAAGTCGGTAAAATTCGCAATTTACTTCGTTACATTGAAATTTCGCTAAATCGAAATTTGGCTTTAGCATGCAAAAAAAAAAATTCCGAAACATTTTACGGGTATGAAAACTCACCGAAAATGACATTTATTTAGGGGCAAAGTAGTCCGCGAGTTTTGCTTGCGCCTTGTCCGACAGTAGCAGCGGCGTCATACGGCGTTCGAGCGCCCAGAGCGCTTGCACGGCATCTTGCTGCCTATGCGACGCCGTGTACCTCCTCAGTACGTCCATTGCGTCGAGCACTTCCCGAGTGCTCGTGATCTCGGCACTTTCTTCAGGATGGCGTCCAAAACGTTTGCTTTCTCATCCAAAAAATGAACTTTACGTTTCCTTATGCCAGCAAGCACGTGAGTGAACCGCCCAGTTGAAAAATAAAGCTGTTTAGTTTAGGCGATGCCAATGTTTCCAACCGACACAGCAGTCTTGCCCGCACAGTTTACTCAGTTTACTTGCCCCCTTGCTGCCCTTGCGCCCACAGTGTGCTTGCGCCTTTGCTTTACATCACGGTCGCAAGACGATAATCGGTCTTCTCGGTCTTCTCCTAGATGGCACTGCCCATGCGGTCGCGCTAGGTCGCGCCATCACGTCGCTCCCCCGCTGAAGTTGGCTCCCGCGCTACCCGCGGTACAGTGGACTATGATGATCAGTGAATGTCAGGGGTGATGCTGTTATGCCGTGTAAACTTTTTGCTCGGCATTTTCTGGCCAGCCCCGCAGAATCCGCTTTGCCGCATGCCTCGCCGGCGCTACCGGCGCCGCATCCTCGGGCAGCCTAGGAACGTTGGAAGGCCTGTCCCCGTGAAGTAACCTATCAAAGCGCTCGCGTTTGCGCATAATTATTTTTTTTTTTTTTGCGAAGTTGTTTTTTAGAGTCTATTTATTTATTGCCTTCTATGGCAATGGCGCTTCGTTATATTGAAATAGCAGCAAAATGGACTTCGCTATATAGAGACTAAAAATACATGGGGTCTATGGGCAAAAAATTATGAAAAAAAAATACTTCGTTAAATCGAGGATTTCGTTACATTGAAGTTCGTTATATCGAGGTTCGACTGTATAACATCTAACTGTTGTCCCGAACAGATGCCGACGACACACTCAAAGGAATTAGAAAAATGAGACTGTGGTGGCCTTGGCCTCTCCTCAGGGCCGCTAAAAGTCTGTCCAAACAGCTAGGACACTTTAGAAATCGTGAGGCGACACAACTCCGACATAAGACGTGTGGTGGTCTGCTTCCGTCCGATATTTTTGCCGGGGAGGAAGTTTCCTCCGTCAAAGCTTGCTTGTGTCCGATCACGGAAGCCTTGAGCGTGCTCATCACATGTGTCCGGACAGCCCCTCACACGCTTTGTTGGCTGCCAGTCAAACGCTCAAGGCCTTTGCTTCCCGCAAACGGGAAACGAAAGGGCTGTGTTTGAAATCTTATCCAAATAGATCTGAGTTACACCAGCGGTTGTATCACATGATAACACATGGTAGAGCGACACTGGGCGCGGGTAGGTTTTCAAACTCCAAAGTGCAAAACCCTTATCCTGGAGTCACGGTCAAGAATACGAGGACCAGGCAGAACAGATTGACAGCATAGGCAGATGGCCTGTGACAACAAGTCTGACGAGTACCGAGGTCACCGGAAAGCAGAGGAAAGCTGTGATGTTTGCTTGGTGGTGTTCAAACAGACATCCGACTGCCAGACTTCAACCGTTTCAACTTCCACGACTTTTGACGGAGTTGTCACCTCACGATTTCTGAAGTGTCCCGTTTGGACAGGTTTAACCCGACACTCTACCAAGATTAATTTGAAACGCCGAAATCTGTTGTCACGATCTCACCTAACTGGGCTTAATTTATTAAAGTCGAAACTGACTAACATTTTACCTGTGCATGTTTCTTGGATTTATCCGAAGGCACACGTACCGAGCAAATGCTCGAGTGGCGCCTCCTCGGCATACAACTCTCGCTACGGCCGGCTACGCAGTCTGCGACAGCTAGAGTATGGTGCGGAACCCGTCTCAAACGGGTGCGTTTAACGTCCCATTCTGCCCAGATGCATCGAAGGTGGTCCCAATGTAAGGAGCGCAAGTTTGTCTGCCTATTTCGCAGGGGTTGTGGTGACGTCAGAACTCTGAGCTCTGAATGGCTCTAATTGAAGAATAGTGGGTAAACCTCAAGGCAGCTTGCTTTGAGGTCTACTCACTATCCTTCAATCAGAGCCATTCAGCGCTCGGTGTTCTGACGTCACCACAACCCCTGCAAAAGAAGCAGACGAACTTGCGCTCTGCATAGCAACAAATACATCCCAAAAGCCAAAGTGTCACGCTGTCGGATGTCTTGATCTTGGTGGCTTGGTGTAGAAGTTCCGGAAAAAAAAGCACGAGCAAACGCGAGTGTCACTCTCGTGGTGCCGTTCAAACTCCCAGCCGCCAGAGCTTCCATGGACTGATGAGCTGGAGAGCGAGCTCCAGCGTAACCGGCATCTGCCACATCCACCACCGCTGCTGCGACAGCACCGAAACCGCAATCGGCGACAGCGTGACACTTCTACAACGTAATCGGGCGGAAATCGAGGGACCACATTTTAGGACGCAGTAGTTAACGCGTCGGTTGGAGATGCATTCCAGGCACCGTAACTAGAGGGAGAAGAGCGTCGTCGCACCTTGTCTCGGAAGCAGATGTGGGTGGCACCGTCCCGGCCGGCGATGACCCGTGCGCTGCCGATGAGCCTCTCGAACTGAAAGCCGCACGACAGGCCTATGGCGTGGCAGTCACGCAGGTAGTAGTCCCACTTGTCCACGTCCAGGTTAGACTCCTTGTTGTTCACCACCTGCGACACCGGAACCATTGCTCTTTTTGTACCGCATTCGAGGCGACTAGTACTGCTGCTCGAGGCCTCTGGGAAGCTCTTTCTTGAATACCGTAATCTGTCATTTGTTTCGTCAAAATTCGGAGTGCGGTCGAAGGCTCAAACACATACTAAAAGCGACACAGGACATTCATTGCGCTCGACTGGTTTAGCCAATGTACAGAAAGATGACACTTTGTTTTGGAGCCGCTTGTTCCAGTCGCCTCATAGCACGAGTTAAACACCCCAACTTAAAGAGAAACTAAAGCAGGTTTGTATTTGAGAAAAAAAACATTTAAATTGTGTTTACTTGGCTTTCACGATTATGAGTATCAAGATTACAAGTTAGATTGATGTGCCAAGTAGTAGCCACAATAGTGCTATCGAAGTAGCACTCAAGCCCCTACTTCCCGTCGCGTTTGGCGGTAGGGGGTAATCATGACGTATTACATGGAGACCTTAACATTTCCGCGCTTTCTGCAAGCCTAACTCAAGCAGTCAAAAGTGCTGCATGCATTCCCTCACAAGCGGCATGTGCAAGGCAGCTGAAACCTCTGGGTATGACATGACACCCAGCAGTTGGTTTTTCTGTTTTTCTTGCGTCTATAGATACGTTTCTCGTCAAATACTCATGATATTTAAGTTCACGGGACAAAAATACGGTAGAATTCACCTCTAACTCTTTTCTATAAGAACATCTTCAGCTTCCCTTTAAGGTGAAAGTTTGTATATCTTTGACTGCTAAAATAGTAGGATTAACATGAAGGCACAACATACTGTACAGAGTAGACTCTCATTAATCCAAACTCCATGAAGCCACAAATTTGGTTTGAATTAACAGAAGTTTGAATTATCAGAAATTCATCTAAATAGGATGCAAAATAAGCTGATGATCTGCCATATGAATGGCTACACATACAAAGCTGTTCAATGGTTTCCTCTATATAAGCCTGCTGATCATGAGCAGGTATGCCACACTTTAAACATTCGTGAAATGTATGACATGTTTATTTACCCCTAAAAAATTTTTGTTTATCGTGGACTGTTTAGAGAGCACATGACACTTCAAAACATAATTATAATTAAGTTTGTTCATCAGGCCAAGAATTTGTCAAATCTGGGCTATTAAGCAGTGGGGACACATGAGCAATGAAAACGGGCACCACGCAGCCATTTTCATAGCAACTTGCGCGGACGCTGTGACATGGACATATGCCATTCCACCACGTCACAGTGTCCGAGCGAGTTGCTCTGAAAACGTCCGTGTAGTGCCCGTTTTCATGACTCATAATGTCCTGCTTGAGCCCCGTTGACTGCACTTCTCACCCCACACAAGTGCGCAACACTCGCAGAAGCAAGATCCGCCGGCGTTGCCTCCCTGCAGTGCATCGGTGCTCGGAAAGAAGCACACTCAACAGGGCGGCGAGAACAAAAAATATGAATTACACAAAAACGCCGTTCGAATTAGGCGGCTTATGAATACATTAAAAACATAGTGGGGAGCCTAAAATTTGAAATTTGTTTGAACTAACCAGAAGTACAAAATATCCGAGTTTGTTGTTGGCGCGGTTGGCTGGGGAGTGAAGTTGAGCACCAACAAAAGATTTGGGTCGCGGATACAGGAAACCTTAAAATTCTTGCCGCTCGAAATCACCAATGAGGTTTTGCGGCTTCCAATAGCTGCATTCGGAATTGAATATTTCAAACTTTCCAGGTCCCGCAACTGCACCCAAATTCTGCCATCGCCAGTCAAAGGGGTAACTTCACAGACTGTTGTGGGTTAAGAAAAGAGGGAAAAGCTTCTTCCACGTCCTTGACACTTTCCACTTTAGCGGAGCAAATACTGGAGAGCAGACGGGTGGAGAGGGGCCAACCATCAATCGTAGCAAGCAGAGAGCTTTGTGGGAGAGGTGTGTCCCGCGTTTCGAAAGCTGTCACAGACAATAACACCCACTTTTTGTAGGTACTTTGTGAGCAAAGCTTAAAATCAAGTCAAAATAACTCGTTCATTATCTTCCTGAAGCGGTAAAGTATAAATAACTAAATAAAAATGAAAAAAACGGTTACAGTGCAGGCAAGCTGGTGTAAGTTATACATGATGATTGAAACCTGAGACTGTGGTTTGAAAAACGGAAACTTGTGAGGTAGGAAGAAAAAGGGACAGACAATGTCTCAAACTCGGCTAAACCCTTTATTGCCTCTATGCCTTATATACACCTCCCCTGAACGTCGCTGCCACAACAACTGTTGATCACTGAACTACAAACAATACACCAGAATCATAATACACCAAACCGCAAATAATACATAAAAAAAGTGAAAGCCGTTTACCACTCCCTGTAACGCCGAATTGGAGCGCAGCTCTTGAGGAGGAGGAGGGGAGGGTACTGAGGGCCACGTGTTCTCGGGGGGGGGGGGGGGGGGGGGGTCACGTGACCCCCCCCCCTTTCCGAGAACACGTGACCCGTGCCCCCTCAGAGGTCACGTGACCTCGGGAGGAGGTCACGTGACCTCGGGGTGTCACGTGACTCCCCAGGTCACGTGACCCCCCGGGTCACGAGACCAAAATTTTTCCGCTAGATTTAGCGGGGAAATTTTTTCCGCTAGATTTAGCGGGGAAAGTTCCGCTAGATTTAGCGGGGAAATTTTTTCCGCTAGACTTAGCGGGGAAATTTTTTCCGCTAGATTTAGCGGGGAAAGTTTTCCGCTAGATTTAGCGGGGAAATTTTTTCCACTAGATTTAGCGGGGAAATTTTTTCCGCTAGATTTAGCGGGGAATTTTTTTCCGCTAGATTTAGCGGGGAAATTTTCCGCTAGATTTAGCGGGGAAATTTACCCATAATGCACCGCGCGGTTACGCCGACGGCGACGGCGACGCCGACGCCGCTCAAGCCGGAAACGGGCGCCTAAGAGCTGCGCTCTAAAAAAAAAAGAAGCATGCCTTATTGTTTTTTATTTTCACCCAGTAAAAGGGGGGTCCAATACAGACAGAAACACATCACCACCGCACCCGGAAGGACTTCGATGCGGACAGTGAAACAGAAGCACAGGGAAACACACAGACTGTGGGACATCCTCCTGGGCAAGGAATTCAGGACAGGTAAGGAATATCGACACTGGCACAATGTCAAGAAGGTGCAGTGCAACCAGATTTGGTATGTGAAAAGATTGCATGTTTTGTCAAGATGATGAAACTATGAAACGTAACTGTGCTCGATGTTTGGATGTATGGCCAGGTTGGGTCTGAGTACCAACCAGGTGTAATGAACCATTGTAAAGAACCGATTTCAGAGAGAACCGAAGCAATCCTGGAAAAAGGTCCCAAGTTTTGTATGAATGTAAAGCCTTCCAGACTGGATGCAGGGGTGGAACTCATGAAATATACTTGGGAGCAGCCACGGGAGCAGCTGAAACAGCTGTTTTGGAGCAGGTTAGGAGCAGCTAAAACTACGTTCTGGAGCAGGCTAGGAGCAGCTCAGATCATCTTTCATTGCACTTCAGCTTGTGTCTTCAAGACAAGCACGGGAGCAATTTCAATTGTGCTTAGCAGCACAGATGAACATGAGTGTTTAGAGACCTAGATAGATGGGATAACAGTGTAACAGATGCAAAAACTTGAAACTTTGTGAGCCTTAATGAGAACCAAAAGGCAAGTATGATATGTTTCTGAAGATAGTATCCTTGATATTTTCTGAGTGGCTTACAGCTGCTCAAAATGCGAACAAGCACTGCTTATCGCACAACCCACACGTGTTCGACACAGTAATCATATGCGCGAACCACGTGACATGCGCAAGCAACGGACGTGCAGTTGCGTGGAGGAACAAGGTAACAAATTTCGAGTTAATCTTATTGCGCAACTAAATATTGAAGCAGCAGACTACGATTAACGGAGTTATCGTATTCGAAGCGATAAGCAGGAGCAAGGTTAAAGTACGCCGAGCAGATCTACTGCTCGCGTACATAAGAGCTGCTGGCCGGCAAGGTTTCGGTTTGGACCGCGTTTCAGTTCTATCAAATCACGATTTATCTTGTGGGAATGCGGTTCCAACTTCTAACGATGAAGTACTAAAAGGAATCTTTTGCTCATTTGTTTTCAACTGGCTGACGTCCGGATCCCCGGCCGCAGAGCCTCAGGCGATCTGACGCTGAACGACTCAACCTCACCTCTGCCGACTTGCTGAACCACCGATGGTTGAAGAATAACAATCCAGTCGCAGGTGCTGTAGCGCTAGGAATCCGACCCCCAAATTTTTTCGCACGCTTCCGACTCGAGATACGCAGGGAGAATAAACAGAACAAAAGATTGCAAGGCCGGCCAAGCTAAACGCGCTCATTCTTGTCAACCGAGTCGATAGAAACCGAAACGAAGAAAAAATACAATTTTTTTGGCGCACGTTTTGCGATTTGGTGCATAATGGCGCGAGGAATTGGTTGTGGCGCAGTTTCCACAACATGGCGCAGGATGGCGCAAACAAATGCGCCTGGCGCAAAATGGCGCAAATGGCGCAGCCGTTCCACCTCTGTGGATGTGTCTTCCGCAATCCAGACCGTTGCACGGTATGTGAATCACTATGAAAGAATTTCATTTGTCGATCAAACTGTAGGGAGATTAGAAAGGTTATGGAGGATGCATACGGGGTTATAGGGGCGCATAGGGGGATTAGGAAAGGTTATGGGGAATGCGTCGGAGAGGAAGAATTTCAAAGATGTAAACATGGTGAGGAAGGAGCTGGAATTGAAGTCTTTGAAACTCCTCCAAACATACAAGTCCGGCAGGTTTGCTGTCATCCCGGAGGAGGTATTCCGGAGAAAGACAGACGATGCTTTGGGGTCGTTGTTCAGGGAATGGAAAGAAAATTTAGGAAAGTTGAGGAGAGACATTTGTAACATACTAAAAGATGAGGAAAAGGAAAGTGTAGTATCATGGCCTAATTACGACTCTATGTTTGAAATTCTTTTTAAAAGACCACAAGGTTGGCATGCCTCTCCGAGTTGTTGTAAATGAAATTGGCACTTGGCAGAAGATCATCTCTTTTTTTCTCCAACGTGGGTTAGGGCTAATCTTTTTGGATCATCCTCTATCCTTAAGAAATTCAGGAAAGCTTATCGATGTCATGAATAGCAATCACGGTAGAAATTGTTCAGTTTTCTCAATGGACATAAAGAATCTATATTATTCTCTTGAAAAGGAAAGCTCTCTGCACTTTTCGAGAAAACCTTTCGGATTCCCTACAAGATGTAATAAGTTCAGCGGCCCCAGAGCAGCGTTTCACTGTAGAAAAGCCGGAGGAGAATGTCATTCAATTTTTGGATTTACGCATTCATGTGGGCAGTGAGCTGTGTTGGGAATATGAAAAACAGGCACCAAAACCCGTCCTATCAAAGCAGAGTAGTCATTCTACAATTGTAAAGGGAGGGGTAGTCAAGTCTCTGACTCAGAACGCTCTACAAAGGTCATGCACGCATTACATGGAGCAGTCTTTAAAAAGGCAATCAGGAAGACTGGAGAAGGCCGGCTATCCCTTAATGAAACGGCAGCTTGATCTGCAGATCAAAGATAAGCAAGATAAGCCAAGTGTCCAGAACCAACAGGCTGCCATCCCATACTTTCACGCCATTTCACATAACTTGAAGGCGTGTGCTGAGAAACATCCCAGTTGAAAGCTCCCATTAGATTCCAATTGGAATTTTTAATTGGTACCAGCTAGGTTTTGAAACAACCAATTGGTCACTGCAATAGGAACCAATTGGAACCCATTAAAATTCCAACTGGAAAATTTTTTTCAATTGGTGAGACCCATTGGCCAGTGTGCTTCCAATTGGAACCCACTAAAACCAATTGGTTCCAATTAAAACCAGTTAGAATTCCAATTGGATCTAATTGGAATTTTCAGCTGGGATGTGATTTCAAATTAGCTAAACTGACTCCTTTTGAAGCAGGACAGAAAGAATGTAAAAAAATGCATCACGACAGATCTGTTCCATGTGTGAGTGGAGTAGTGAGCGAAATTCCCTTGGAATGTGGCTTTAAATATGTTAGTCAAACTGCAAGGTGCATTAACAACGATAGGTTGACAGAACATAAACGAAATGTGCGTATTAACACTTCAAACTCTGAATTAGTGAGGCATCTCCAGGAATGCAATGAATGTACAGTGAACTGGTCAGAGACAGAAATCATACACAAAGAGCGTGAAGAGATGTAACGTGCTGTGCGAGAAACTGTTCATTATAAAAACATCGGGAAATTGCATTAGCCAAGCGTCACTGCAACTTGGAAGTGAGTCAAAAAAGTTTTTAAGATTTAGTGTGGGGTGAACTTAGGAGGGGAGAGGCTTGCTTCGCAGAGTTGTTTGCTTTGTTGGGTTCGGGATCATAATGGGGGGCATTGTTGGCGACTGTGTGATTCATGGTTCAGTCCAGGGGAGAGGAGGGGGGGTAGGTTAGAAACGGTCATTGTGTGTTTCCCTGCGCTTCTGTTTCACTGTCCGCATCGAAGTCCTTCCGGGTGCGGTGGTGACGACCTTGTGTTTCTGTTTGTATTGAACCCCCTTGTCACTGGGTGAAAATGAAAACAATAAGGCACGCTTTTCTTTTTTTTTATGTATTGTTTGCGGTATGGTGCATTGTGATTCTGGTGTATTGCTTGTAGTTCGGTGATCAACCGTTGAGGTGGTGGCGACGTTCGGGGGAGGTGTATATAAGGCGTAGAGGCCATAAAGATTTTAGCTGAGTTTGAGACGTTGTCTGTCCCTTTTTCTTCCTACTTCACGAGTTTCCGTTTTTCAAACCACAGTCTCAGGTTTCAATCATCATGCATAATAAAAGTGTTAGGGTTAGCGCAATCCATTACGAGTTCCGTATGTGTTACTACGAGGATATGACTAAACTATGATCCGCACAAACGTTTTGGCACCCATCTTGCACAAACTTTTCGAAACCAAAGTCTGCCGTGCATTATAGCACCAACAGAGCCTCGCTCGTCTGTCCGACAGAGTCAGTTCACGTGCACGCCAAATGTAGTCATCAGATGCAGAATCTGACTCCTCCTTCAAGACTGAAGTTTGTGCATTCTTTTTTGAACATCGGAGTCCATTCAAAGATACCTCCTTGTGAGAAAACACGTTCTCCATAATGTGCACAAAGTATTGGCAACAGAGATACACCCTCAGACTGCAGAAAACGAATGGCTGCATGCATTGCTGCTCTTCTATCGCGCAAATCACAAGTGGCGCAGCCATTGTTTTTTGTGCCGCAGTTACAACTGGGCTGGCATGACACGTTCAAAAGTGGACAGCGGTGGCTAGGACAGTGACCTCGTACAAAAAGTGCTAAAAACACAATGCGACCGACAAAAGTTTAGAAATAACCGGAGTGCGGATGATTTTTTAAACACCCTCGAACAATCCTCCAAGGTTACACAAGATACAGTCGACTCTCGTTAATTCAAAATCTCTTAATTCAAACTTTCGGATAATTCAAACTAACGTGCAGGTCCCATCCTATGCGTCTCTATGGGAAGAAACTCCTGATAATTCAAACTTTGCTTTATTCGAACAAATTTACGGCCCCCCTCGAGTTTGAATTAATGAGAGTCGACTGTATTACAAGTGTGACTGAGTTGTACGTCTAGAGCAGTGGTCCTAAGCACTGATGTCTTGGGGGTGCCTTCTGAATCGGCGGAAGTGATGGGGGACCCCATCCAATGGGGCTTGGGGGGGGCAGTTGACGATTACGATGACAAAAAGGTAGATAAAGAAGACTAAATGCATGCGAGCCAACTGTGAAGCTCTGAAACATAGACTAATGAACCCTACTCAAGCGGTGCACATGTAAAATGGTCGGCACCAATTAAAAAAATATTTTTTTATTGCTCGGCTGAGGGCTCCGGGGACCCTAAGGAGGTCTTCGGCTACCCCAAAGGGTCCACGGACCCCCATTTAAGAACCACTGTTCCAGATCGTAGCTTATTTGAGTTATATATTTCTCAAAATTATGTAGACAAACGCAGAAATTTAAAATAATAATGTCTAAGCATCGACGCTGTGTACTGTGAGTTATTACTGTAAGGTTCGTCCAGGGCTTGGATCTCCTGATCAAATCATTTGACGCTCTGCCCGTCGGAGATGAAGAGAAAACGGGCTTACCTGGAAGAGGAAGTGCCTGGCCGGATTTGCAGCTCCCTGAAAGGCGCAAAGGATCATGCCACGTGGCTGTTACTGATATGCGCCAAAGTGGGCGTCAGGGTACACGTGCATCACACTTGGACACCTCAAGCGCCATTGAGACAAGTGGCTTTCGTGCAAAGGAAAACCCGATTTTGAGTTGGGAAATATCTTTTTGGTCAATTAGGTCCCATCGTATTCCCCGTAAAAGATTAGGCCCGCGTCGATACTCCGTCGGAGCTAGGCACGTGACATGTCAGACATAAAAAAATGTGACATCTTCAGCTCGCACCTTTCAAAGAGGAAATACAAAGTGCGCTTACTCGACAGGATCCCAATGGGAACCCCCCAAAATTTGAAGCGGGATGCAGACACACCTTGTCTCCCAGAATAAGGCCCTGGATCAGGGCAAGGTCGTCCCTTGTGAGTCCCTGGGCCCAGCGCTGCTCCCACGCGGACAGGGTTGGCTCTAGCCTCTTAAAGATGCGCCCCAAGAGCCGGCAGGAGGTCTCCTCATGCTGCGCGGCAGCATGCGAAAGCAACGGTTCATCGGCGAGTTACAGTGAAGGCCTCTTGCATCAGTTGTGAGTCGGTGCTTAAGCGGTTCACACATTTGCATTAGATTGAAAAAAACTGCACTGCAACCACTTACGATGAGATGACACACTGGCACCATCTATCCAGTAGCCCTGCAACATTTATCATCTGCATATATTCATCATTGTTGTTTTGCCATTGGCTAGAAATAATGCTACTACATAATTAAGCAACCCTTTTTTATCAATATTGCACAGAACTTTGATTTTAAAAATGTATTGCAAAACCTTTCATTTGGTTGCGTGCAGACTGGAATAGTTTAAGAGACACCCGATAGGTGATGCAGGATAGTTCTCACATAGCAAGCGGTTTTAGCAGTTGCAACACGGTCTATCACACTCGAGCGCAAATGTGTGATACAGTCTTCAGATGCATCCTGCAGGCAGCATGCATCTAAGTTCCGACTCACAACTGATTAAGACAAAACTGTGCGCACAAACAAAGAGTGGCTTACAATCCCCACACAGATGCAATGGCCAGGTTTTGTTTGTGTGTCTGGTGTTGCTACTCGAGTGTAATCTTCGGATGATTCCACACTTCTTCTTTCTGTCTACATTTTCGCACTGTTTATTTGGGGTGCTACTTTATCTGTTTCCGAAGCGACTGCGAGAGTCCCGCCAAGGGCAAGGAGCTAGGGTGTGGGAGCGCCTACGTACCGTCCAGACCGGAGACACGCCCCTCTGACGAGCCCCCAGGATGTAGAAGCGCTCCCAGAGGTGAGAGAAGGGGCCGTGTCCCAGGTCGTGGCACAGTCCGGCCAGTTCCAGACAGAGCAACTCCCTGTCAGTCACACGCAGCTCCGGCTGCGCCTCGCGCAGGTGCAGGCCAAGCCTTTGTGCCAGGTAAGCCGTTCTGTTTCGATGGACAAATTGAATGCAGTCACCCCAGTTGAAAACTCCCATTAAGTTCCAATTGGAATTTTCTTATTGGTACCAACTGGGTTTTTGGACAACCACTTGGTCACTGCCAATGGGAACCAACACAAACCAATGGGAACCATTTGGAACCCATTCAGGTTCCAACTTGAAAAATAATTCCAATTGGCAAGACCCATTGGCCAGTGTGCTTGCAGTTAGAACCCACTAAAACCAATTGGTTCCAGTTAAAACCTATTGGGATTCCAATTGGATTTAATGGAAATTTTTAGCTGGGACGTTACTCGAAAAAAGAAATCTATTACAATTACTCTCGGTTAAATAGTATTTAATTAGATTCCTCAATTACTTCGAAAAGTAACTGTCACTTTTCAAATTACAGTTGAACCTCAATTTAATGAAGTCACCGGGACCCGCTAATTACTTCGTTAAATCTGGAACTTCGTAAAATCGAGGAAAAGAGACCTTGCGCATAGGCTGCGCGAAGAATCCGAATTCGTTCGTTAAATCGGGAAATTCGTAAAATTGTGTTTCGTTAAATCGAGGTTCAACTGCATTCGAAATTTTCAAAACGACAAATTTTTTCTGCCGGTTTAATAATCGGTTTTTCGTACTCTCTGTTATTGAATTAGAATCACTGAATTGTAAACAACTTATCTTTTTAGTTCACAAATTTAGCTAAACAAAGGCTCCTGTTAAAGATTCGGTTCGAGAATATCAATTAGTAAAGTACTTGTGGAAACAAGGGGGGTGCCATTAGAAACGGGAGGGAAAAATAGTAATGGTTACAAGTATAACTTTAGCACTTCCAAAAGGTAATCAGATTACTCTTACAATTACTTAGTAATAAAAGTGTTCAAAAGATTACAAAATTACTTAAAAAAAGTACTAGGATGGCAAAGGCAGATAGCAACACAAAATGTGACGTGTCAAAGTGGACGTGGTGCGAAAGGACGGCAGGAGTAGATGGCCTAGGATTAGCGTGCGCACCGCCGCACATGGCACTTTAAAAGATATTCAATGCCGCCACAAAATCGCAGCTCTCCTTGTAGAGTGTCACCTGCTTCGTTAAGGACCTGGGAGCACACTTTGAAGGCTCCGTGAGCGTGGCTGGCTTCGCGGACCTGTGCTGTGTGTGGCAAGTGCACGAGTACTCCATTGCTATTTTACTTAAGGGTGCCATCTTCTGCGGTAACAATGTGAATGCGACGTTCTCAGAGCCTGCTGCAGTGTGAGACACAGTAGACAGAGTGTACTGAAAACATAACTTGAATGTGGCAGCAGCGGTCAGAGGTTACGAAGTTTCCAACTACTCGATTGGGGTCACGTGAATTATGAGCCGTGTTTGCGTTATGAGCTGCGAGAAACTGACAAAAGCGTTGATTGTCTGCAAGCCTCTCTTCTTTTCCGACTGCTGTCCTACTCACCATGCAATTACACGGCGCATGCCCACTTGCGCAGGAGGTGGCCGCCATTAAATTGCAAATGATAAACCCTCTGTTCAATCTAGACTCTCTACAGCTCCAAGCAGACCTCTGGCATCAACTCGCAGCAAGATCTCAACAATCTGGCAAGGGGGGCACATCTAAGTTAGTGTAGGCTTTTCTTTCTCCATTTTTCTGTCACTCTCTCTCGCTCTCTTTCTCTGGGGAAGCCTGGAGTGCACTTGTTTGACAGAGCAGACCGCTGCTGCATGTCTGAACACGCAATGTTTTACCCCCCAGGGGGTGACACGGATGCACTCGAGGACGAGGTTCGTCTGGCACCGGTGTCCGATCGGGGAGGAGATGAGTGCTGCATCAGCGTTTGGCTAATAGTCAGCCTGTCGATTTCCATTGCTGGCACCTAACCGGATATGGTTAGGCACCAGCCATATAACACATTCCGTGTTAAAAAGTACTTGATTACAAGTAATTTTGGTTACTTGAAATCAGCACCGTACGAGTCTGCTCATGTGCAGCGCCCCAGCAGAAGACGAAGAAACAGACGTGGTCGCTCGGAGACTTAAATTTTCATTGGGCAATGGACGTTTATTGAGCGGGCACAGGGTCGCCGTTCGAGGAAAGCCTGAGAGAGAGGGAGATGAAGAGTGCAGCTATGGTCACCGAAAGAATGAGAACCGCAGGGTGCATCGCTCAAACGCCCAGCCTCCAGCATGTGCTCCCTGCTTTCCGCCGTGTCAAAGAGCGTTGTCGAAGAGCTTGCACTGGGGGCGGGACAACTGAAGCTTCGCTCTGCCATTCCCACCTTGTCAGTGACCACAGTATCCTTGCTCGATCCAAATGGCTTCCCCCTAGCACACAGAGTACACCTCTGGTGAATCAGTCTCAAGACGGGAATGAAAAGTCTCCAAACAATGAGACATCTAGGAACTAGGGGTGCCGCAAACTTTCAATGGCCCAGCTGCACAAAGATTACACCACACACTAAAAACACTGTTCACACTGCTGGACTTAAAAATGTTTAATGGTCCTCTTTTTCTTTTTCTCTTGTCGAGTAATTAATACTTACTTTTTCTTTTTTTATTCGTAATTCATAGTAATTTCTTTTTCTTTAAGCCACTTTTTATTTTCTGCTTTTTTGGGATGAAGTGGTTGCGCATTCTTGCTTTTATCCTTGCTCGGACATCGTGGCTTCCCGCAGGAACGCTTCCTCCTTGTGGTGGAGTGCAGCTCAAGGGTCACTGACACATTCCTCCCTCAATTGTCCTTGATGGCAGGGACCCTCGCAATTCATATGTTTGAATATTTTGAACAATGTGTCAGAAAATTTGAAATCTTCGAACTCAAGCTTTTAGAAACCTACACATTTTTAAATTATTTCAATTCGAATCTTAGTAAGGTTCTAAAGTTGCAAACTTTTGAAATTCGAACCTTAGCGAGGTTCAAAAATTTAGAACCTTTCAAACTCGAACTTCAGGAGGCGGCTCACGGCATCCCTAGTGACGGTGTCCCAAGAAATACATCTTCATGACTGCCACTAGTTTGCTGAAGGTGGAGCAGCTATTATGAGCCAATAGGTAGCACGAAACTTTAGAAAGGGTCATTTTTATCTGGTCTACGCGTCAACCACTCACCCCATGCTGTGCTCGAAGCGGGTGTGGGTGGCCCCGTGGTAGAGGTAATGAACCACCCCCACCTGCCGGATGTCCCGGAGCCTCTGGAACTCCGGAGTGTCTACGACGGCCACCGACACCGGGTGTAAAGAGATCTGTCCATGCACGGGATCCCAGAACACCTGCAGCACCGACACCACGGTGTTACAGTGCCCGAAATGTGCCTCCGACTGGTGCGTTTAGCGTCCAGTCTCCCAAAGTGGCAACAAATGGTGTCACAGAAGCCTAAGCGCTGAAGTGTCATGCAGTCGAATGCAGCGACCCTGGCAGCAGTTTGTGCTAGAGGTCAACAATAAGAAGCACGAGTGAATGCGAGCGGATCGCTGTCATCGCAGTGACCCAACTCCTAGCTGCGGAAGCCCCCGTGGACTGTCAAGACTGTCAAGCTGGAGAGCAATGCAGTAGGCTTTGAGTCTACTCGCTAATCATTCCAACCAAAGCTCGGTGCTCCGACATCTCCGTGCACTTTCATCTCCTCTCCCTCAACTCCTATGCGTGTTGACGGCGTGCTCAAATTATAGGGGGTGCTTCTCTAGCTATCATCATCATTGTTTGTGACTTTGTGGGTGGCACAGACCGCCCACTGATCCTTGATTCCTCGGCTCAGTTCATGCGCTGTTTGGGTAACGCGCGGAAAAGCCTGTTTCATGCACTGTGCTTATTTGGTGAAAAGTGATGTATTTGTTGTAGGACATTTTGTCATAGCTTGAAAACGTGGCACGCGTAGTCGTGCTAACAAACAATTTTGGCGCTGAGGTGTCGAAGCGCTCGGATCGTGGTGTGCGTGCTATTCTCTACCCTAGCACAAAAGCTGGAGGATGAAAATAGAATATCTAGTGCTTTATCCCACTACAACATCCACCACGGCGAATAGGGTGCATTTTTTTATTATGATTTGGACAAAATAAAACTGAGAAAGGGATGCGTCATCAAAGTGAAAATAGGAAAGCGAAATTCAGGAACCTCTCAAATGTGTAAGCACTTCAGTGAAAGTGACTCCGTGTATCCTATTGATTCCACCGTATTCTGTGAGTGCTGGCCTCCTATTAGTTACAAGTTGATTCCTTGTTGAATTTCGCAAACCAGTAAACATACAGTAAACAAACAAACACACAAGAGAAATGTAAGCACAAATGCGTCGAACTCGGAAATCGCAAATCACATTCAGGAATGTAACAATTATACGTATACTGGTCAGAGACGGAAATTCTACATAAAGAGCGGAATGATATAAAGAGAGTCGTAAAAGAAACAACATAGGATAAAGTCTACCGGAAACTGCAAAAGCTATAAGCCTCGGTGCAACTTGGAAACCACGGCAAAAAGTTCCTCAGATTGTAAACAACACCTTAGAGTTTCCTTTTTTTTTTTTGAGAGAGAGAGAGAATGAGAAAGAAGCACTAGTGTTAATATTTTGGAAGCTTTACCCGGGTTGAGGTACAAAGAGCAGCAGTCACCATGTTTCTGAAGCCCCCGATGTAGGTCCCAGAGCCCACTCTCATCGTCATTGATTATAGGGTTGATGATAAGAATAAGGGCATTGTGGGTTCCACAGCGTGGTCTCTTGTAAGTGTTATGATATCTGTTTTTGAAAATGCTTTCAACAAAGGAGATGTTTGCGTAGAAGGTGCTTACAATGATGGTATTGTGGGTTCTGCCGTTTGGTCTGTTGTGTACGTTCTTTGTATTTAAAAGTGCTTTAAACAAAGAAGATCTCTGCATAGAAGGTGGTTGCAAGTGGCTCTGTGGGTATACATAGGCTGCTTTAGAAATAAACCAGTTAGCCGAGTTTGAGACGTTCCCTTCTGTGTCTCCTTCGACTAAAACTTTTTTTCCTTTTCTGCAGCAGTCTTGGGTTTTAAACAACATAATCAAGATAACTGGCAGGAAGAAGCAGTAGCTGGTTTCCAGCGCCGTTTCAACTAAATTCTTGCTTACACACCCGGTCAACGCAAAGCGTGCGAGGTCCCCTGCGATCGAGGTCCGTTAAATCTATTAAGTCGGTGACATTTTAGCATGCATCCCAAAAAATTAGGTATCTGCTATATGAATTACGACCGTTTGAATGTTTAATTTTGAGGATTCAGAAATATTGCATAATGCGCTTCTCAGCAAGCTGTATCTTAAATAAACAATTCTTAGCAGAAATCGAATGGAACAAATTAATCAATAGCCTGGATTTGCTGGCCCATGGCCGACAATTTAAGAAGTTATGAACTTTCGAGCAGAGGTCGCGATGTGACAAACTTCTTTGCCACATATTCAATGCGGGAGGAACTAAGTGCCAGTTGCAGACGAGCATTTGCTCATCAGCAAATGTTGAGTCACAATTGACAGAAGCGTCAATATCGCCAGCACTTTGCAACACAACTGTGCATGCGTGCAGCTAAGATGACAGCATGCCATTTACTCTGGTGAATGCAAAACTTTTTCTACAAGAGCCTCTAGAGATCCGAAAAAAACAAGAACCAGAGAGGCTGTGAATAGCCCTGGTCCACACCGCACAAGCTGTAATGTGAAGCTTCAAGCTAGTTGTTGAACATCTTAAAGTTCTTTAATGTCAAAAGCAACTTCAAGGTGCTGTTATTCATTAGAAAGATCACTCACAAGAGCATAATAGACGATTCTGTAATAAATAAACTGTTTCTAATTGGCATAGGTGCGAACTAACATAGCCACCCCGTGCTATTACACAGGGCGTCGTCTGCTCGCATAATACCCAATCCGTGACAGAGGAACGTCCGCAAGGTGGCGCCACTAAAACATCTCATCGCCAATAGCGCCTGTGGCGACAGCAATACGTGCAACTATGCTGCTTGGGCATATTACTGGAAGAGCTCACAGACAAAATATTGCCTCAAGCCACGGTCTAGTGCAAGTGTAATATTTACAGAAAAACAAATATGCATATTCCAAGATGAGAAAGTACATATATATATATCCATACAGGCAGGGATGGGCAGTATTTCAAATACAAGTATTTGAAATACGTATTTCAAATACTTTATGTATTTTGCATTTTTATTTAATTACAAATTGGGTAATGTATTTGACGTGTGTATTTAAATACTAAAACGTGGGTATTTCAAATACAATTGTAATTAAATACAATTTGTGGGCAAAAATACATCCCTCAAATGTATTGTCACTGTCCAGAGCAGGAAGAAAACTACGTTCTGCACCCAATCCAGTGTCTCTCAATCAAGCACAAGCGTTTAGTGACTTTGTGATTACGGTGCTAGTCCAGGGCAAGAATAGTGATGAAATCGACGTTCACAGGCAGACTGGCTAAATAAGTGTCTGTGACAACTTGTGATTCGTTCCAGCCTGATTTCCATCCATATTTTTGCCTGGAACATTCTAAATGCGCGGGTCGTCCAGATTTTTGTAACTGGTGCGAGTTGCAACAATAAAAAATTCTCTAGCAAGTGCTGCGCGTCTTGGTTGTCTCGGTTCTTTGTTGGTCTATACCAAGATGTAATCGACAAAAAAAGCTGCTAGAAGCTCTGTACTTTTTTCACCTATTACGTCCAAGCTGATTACATTTTTTTAGTGATTATATTTCTATTACGTTGCTAGAGCCTCGCACACTAACTCCCGAGTGTGCGATACCCAGAAACCCGTTGCAGGTGCCCTGAAGTCGCTGACGCAAATTTTGTGGAATGTATTTGGAAAAGTATTTGGAGGAGACCAAATACATTTGGTTGTATTTGTATCTTGTATTTAAATACTTTTTTGGAAATGTAATTAGATTTGTAATTAAATACATTTTTGACGAAGTATTTTGTATTTGTATTTCGATACATATTTGCATGTATTTTGCCCACCCCTGCATACAGGTAAGCTGCACGGTTAATTACGGAAGATACCATAATTTAAATGTTGAGACAAGGAAAATAAATTAATTTGGCAAATCGCACCCTAGCCGCACCTCTCCAGCAAATTCCGCTGTCTCAGTACGCTCAATGTTACAGATCCTCCAATCAAGACATTACCTTTTGCTTAGGTTGCTGCTCTTGCCACTGCTGGGGAAGTTGACTGGTTTGCTCCTTCGCCGGTTCCATCACTTGCAAAGCTTGAAACAAACGCGTATTAAGAGAACTGGCGGTCATCAATAGGTGATCTACATTGCGTCTTTCAGCGCATCTGTTGTGGTCCTACATATGGTGCATGGGCTTTGCATCCAGGCTATGTCACCTGCACACCTGGTATATATACACCCCAGCTAAATTTCCAGACTGCAAATAGTTCTAAATTGAAAAAAAACAACAACATAGTTTAGCATTTGTTTATGCTAATCACGAGAAACCTGCTTGGGTCGAGAGTAATTGTTACAGCTCAAGAAGGCAGGGCCAGGGAAAGGAAGTTTGGGGAGGAGGAAGCAGACGGAACGCTGGAGAAGAGAGGGGGAAACCTTCTCATCTCTCCATAGTTCCGTCTGCTTCCTCCTCCCCGGCCCTTTCCCACGCCCTGTACCAATTCTTGAGTTGCAACAGCTCCAAACCGAAACTATGCACAGAAGGAAATCGTCTGCTTCGTGCGTTTGCTGGCGCTACTGATAAGAAAAAATCGACTCACCGTCTGCTTTTGCTGGCGCCACTGATGGGGAAAAATCGACTGACATCGCGCAGCTAGTTTTAATTGAGCTGGTTCGGGAGAGTTCGAGATGCAGACTGCGTGCGTTAACTATTTCTGTTTGAACGAGAATCCACAACCAGGCGATAAAATACCGATGCACACCTGCGTGCGTTAACTTCTTTCTGCTTGGACGAGAAACTGCAACTAGCTCGTAATTAATATCGGACGAATGTGACACTCCTTCCAATCGCCCCACTAACCACCAAGTTATGTTGTACAACAAAGTGGAAGCGAAAGAGAGGGAAAAAGGGGGGGAGGGGGGATAGAATGTGGCACCGTTCGCCCAGCTGGCGTTGCGTGAGGTGTCCTTGGCATTGCTTACACTCCGCAACTTCGCGTATGTCGACACTTGAACCTTTCTCTCGACACCTGCTATTGGCTGGACTGTCATATATACTTACCTACAGAATCATTCTCCGAGTGGCTTACTTCACCTTCCAGACTGCCCATGCCTGTACCACTGGTTGAAGCAATCTGAGCCAAATCGAAACCCGTTTTTGCTCTCGCGGTTCACGCTGGGGCACTGTGCGCTGCGGGGTTCAACCAGAAACGAAGCAGACGACTGCGACGGCACGACCCGCCAGCGAGCAACCGACTACGGTTGACTACAGTCGACTTTGATACATCCGAGTCTCACGCTATGGTCTATGGTCTCACGATCGCAAATAAAATATATATTTTTTTTTTATTTTGCTACTTTACTAGATATAATAGTTCAGAAATTATTGCGTGGTGTTGACGGCTGCTTATATCGTTCTGTTGGTGCGGCCGTTTGGATTCTTTGGATTAGAATTTCGATGCCAAGCGACCAAAACCAAGCCATCAAATCAATCATAACAAAAAAAAAAAAAAAAATCTTCGTGAGTTGTGGCTGTGGCTCTGTGGCTGGCCAGAGCCGTTTATTGGGAGAGTTTGGCCAATAGGCGGAGCAAAGGCCGCTGCCAGCGCCGAATATCCCCCCCGCGCTTAGAGCGTAAACTAAATTTGTGACAACACGTTGACCAATCGGCGAACCGCGACGTCACAATATTGAAAACGACATTCAAATCGGGAAATAGAATCGTTCAATCTCGCCGTCTCGTTGACAATGGCGTCAATCGCAAGTCAGCAGCAGTGATCGTTGGGTGACCAAGGCGTGGACGCCTTGACTGAGGCTACCGAGGAACTATTCAAATCGAGCTAATAATCAAGACAGTAGTCCCGCTTCCGAGCTTCTTTCTGGATAAAAATACGACTGGTGAGGGAGCGCCAACCTAATCGAAGAGAAGACGTCGGGATCTTCTCTGACACCCGGTTTCGCAGAGCGCAGTGAAAAGAAACATGCAACTCACTGGTGTTATGCTATCCTGCGAGTGTGAGCACCCGCTTCTGTTCCCTGCTCCGCCGCTCAAGTGTTCGTCCTGGGGAAGAATCTTTCGAAGCTACCAGCTCGCACTTGTAGTCTCTGCGGTTAGTCCACGTTTGGTCGAAGTATAAATACCATTTTCCCGTGTTGCGTGATTCTCTTGCTTGCCGAAGCGGCAAGTGAAGGAACAACGAGCTAGGAACCGTGCGAACTGTTTGGCTTGTCTGTTGCGCACGAGGAGAGTCCATCACGGAACTTGTTTACGCACAGATGAGTGGTACCAGAAATGGAGTCACGCAAGCTTGTTGTTTGGTCCCGTCTAATTTACGCAATTTCCACTGGGCCAGGGGTCATCCGGCTGCTCTCGTTTCGTTTAAATATAGGTTGTATTCGTGAAGCGGTGCATGCTGGGACCAGCGCCATCTTGCCGTCCTCGAGAGCAGACAGCCGCGCGCGCACTCCCGTAGCGCCCAGCGACAGGTGACGGACGCGTTACGCACGCACCGTTGCAGTGCGACGTATTTATGGTGTTTGCTCGCCCGCTAACGTGAAGATGTCTTCTTCAAGTGGTTGTCCACCGCTGGGTTTATACGGCCTAAGTTTAAGCGGACGGGAACGCACACGTTACGAGGAAAAGGTTAAAATGTGCGGCGCGGATCCGTTCGCGCTGCCGCCGATGGACCTAGTCCGGAACAGCAACCTATGGCCGCAGGTAGAAATGGGCGACATACACAACTACCTGATCCTCAAGACAAGTTTCGTGACGCGCAAGCAGCTAAAAGCGTACAAATCATTAGACGCCCATAATTACCTTACGAGCGGATGGGTCCAGGAGCCGGCAATGAAAGCAGCGAACGCGGACAGCGTGATCATCGTCTCGAAGGTGAGCCTAACTTTTCATGTTTTTGCGGACGCGTATCTTCGCTTAATTTCGTTTGAAACGGCGAAACGGTCTGTTTCAGGAGCGTGTAGTAGCCAGTGATAGTGATAGCGCGAAGGAGATGATGGTGGCCTAGCGCGTCTTAGATCGGAGCACGTGGAAAGCTCGTGCTGCAGGACCCAAACATCGTACCGGTGTGCAGCAGGGACGGCGCCAGGATCTTCATAATGGGGGGGCAGTGGGGAGGCGAACCAAATTGGGGGGGAGGGCGGGGGAGGGGGAGGGGCGGTTGCTTTGAGG